CAGAAATGGCTACATCAATTGCGAGTCTCATTCAAGTAAGAACAAGACATGGAACTGGAGATTTTGGACCTTCAAAATGATATTGTTCTAAAATCCTGCGCAACAGATGAAAACTTTTGGAATCTGGTTGACCGAAAAAAGTTTCCTGCCTTAAAAAATGTAGCATACAAAATAAAAACTTATTTCGGTTCCACTTATTTATGCAAAGTTCTATTTTCAACAATGAACGTCATAAAATCAAAATACAGATCTCGGTTTACAGATACCCATCTTGATGATTCCTGAGGAATGGGAATATCATCCTGCTCTCCCAACTATGAAAAATTGGCTGAAGAAATGCAGTGTCAAAAATCACACTGACTTTATTAGAAAAACCACGTGAATTAATGATACTTATTTTCCATTAAGTGCTGTTGAGTGCGTATGATTAACTTGTGTTTAACTTTTTTTCATATTTGTTTGTTTGTTTATTGAAATCCAGATACAAATAACAATACAAAGAATATTTTTTAATTAACTATAACTGGCTATCTATGTTAACGTAAGAATAATAAATATATTTGGGTCAGCAGTTCAACAATGTTTTATATATAGGACTGAAATATTACTAGCCTCAGTTTCTGCTACAGCTAGTCTAAATTTTTCCCCAAAACTGTCCAATCAAAAAATAATTTTACTTTTTAAAAATAAATAAGATGAAAACTGTTTATGATATTTATTTTGTAAAAACTCCTTAATTTTTCTTACAGGTAGATAAAAAAGAGCAAATTCACATGCTAAGGTGAAAGAGTAATTGCCGAATAATTTAATTAATACCTTTTTTATCTTATGGATTCATATATTATGTAATATTAAATATGATGTTTTTCATATTATTTAATGTACAAATTCAAAATAGGCCTTGAAAAATTGTGGCGCCCTCCACACTCTTCTGAAAACATGAATGTGCTATTGGCCACAAAAAGGTTGGGGACCACTGCCTTATAGTGATCCACTCCACCCCCGGGGCTACCTGCACAGCTACTCGGGCATTTTGGCTCCCTCCTGCTGTGGTTTCCATCCTCCTAATTTAACCAACTCTCTCCTGATGCTGAGTCTCTGCCCTGAGATGCCCCCTTTCTGTGCAGTTCCACAGCCGGCTGGTTCTCTGTCCCCTGCTCTTTTCTACCTGCCTCCTTCCCTCTCTCCGTTATCTGACCTCTAACTTTGCCTGCATAGTGATGAGCTATTTTCATATCTTTACACCTTGCAGACCCTTACACCATCCCTACACTAGTTGCAGAGGCCCCTGCACTTCAGCATCATGAAAGGTCCTTGTGTAGCAGAGAACCAGACCCCCCAATATCCATTATACTCAAGGTGCCCATGAGAAGTCAGAGCCCTAGTCAGAGAAAATATGGACAGTGTATAACACTCACATGTGTACTCTGTGTGACAGATATTGCACATGTGGTATTTTGGGGACTATCGAATGAATGTTATGAATGTTCTGTGTGTCTTTGTATCCCCTTTATAAATAGTATCTATACATGCTATATCAGCGGTTCTCAAACTGTGGGTCGGGACCCCAAAGTGAGTCAAGACCCTGTTTTAATGGGTCACCAGGGCTGGCATTAGACTTCCTGAGGGCCAAAGCCTGAGCCCCACCACTCAGGGCCAAATCCTGAGCCCCACCGCTCCGGTCCAAAGCCGAAGCTTGAGCCCCACTGCCTGGGGCTAAAGCCAAAGCCCAATGGCTTCAGCCCTGGGTGGTGGAGCTCAGGTTACAGGACCCCCTGACTGGAGCTGAAGCCCTTGGGCTTTCGCTTTGTCCCCCGCCAAGCCAGGATGGTGGGGCTTGGGCTCAGAATTTGGTTCCCCCGTTCTGGGGTCATGTAGTAATTTTTGTTGTCAGAAGCAGGTTGTGGTGGAATGAAGTTTGAGAACCCCTGTGCTATACGTATCTTTGTGGGCTCAGAATTGTAAACCACTCCATGGGGGAGGGTTACCCCATCTCCTCCAGTATCTACAAACCATCTGGGGTAATGACTTCTGGGACAGGTAACAGCTCCAGAGAAGTACCACCCCCAGGGAAAGTTGCTTAAACTAGTTCAGGACAGGTCCCAGAAGCCCAAGAGAACAAAGATTTTTGGATAAACCCTCGATTTAAACTGGTTGGAGGTCTGGGATCTTGGACTACAAACTGACGGGACTTCTTAGCCAAAAGAACAAACCCTTAGAGAAAGTTTTGAAAGACTTAGGACCCTACCAGTGAGTCCTATGTGCCAAATGAGAATCCTTTGGGATAAGTGTAATATGTTCAGACCTTTGATTGGTTTATGGTAACTTTTCTGTCAGGCTTTTATCCTTCAATGTTCTCTGCTTTGGAAGAGCCGTTTGGTTACTGGTAACCATTGGCACACACTGTTCATAGCCGTAGGAGTGAAAGCAAAGTTCAGGTGCTGGTCTTTGGTCAGGCATGCTGGGAAAACCAGTTAATTGAAGGGGGCTGCAAGCCTAAAACCCCAGTGTGGAGGGAGAGGGATGTGGGTTCCTGCCCAGGGAGAGGTGACAGCTGGAGGCCTGAGATCTAAGGGGACGTTCCTTGAGCAGACCACAGAGGGGGTCAGAGGTGCAGTTACCCCAAGCCTGTGACTGTCTGTACTTATAGTCATGTCTAGGGCACTGCCTGGGTATGTGGTGTTCACGTCTAACTCAGGGCATTCTCTTACTGTGTGTCTTACTGCTGATTAATGCCACTCCCAGTCCCTTGCCTATTTAACTTCAATTTTTCATTGTGCATTTCACAGCACAGTTCACAGTGGCTGGACCTGACCATCCAGTCATTGCCTCCCTAGGTGGGGAGGCCGTCCTGCCCTGCCACCTCTCCCCCAGGATGAGCGCTGAGAGCATGGAGCTGAGATGGTTCCGATCCCAGTTCTCTGCAGTCGTGCACCTGTACCGTGATGGGCAGGATCAGTACGGTGAGCAGATGCTAGAATATCAAAGAAGAACTGAGCTCTTGAAAGACGACATCACCAATGGGAGTGTTTCCCTGAGAATACGCGATATCCGACCCTCTGACGATGGGCAGTACAAGTGTCGTTTTCAGTCCAGTATCTCTTATGAAGAAGCTTTTTTGGAACTGCAGGTGGCAGGTCAGTGACTTGTTCTGATACTTTGACGTCTTCAACAGGGTAATAAGTGGAGTCAGAGGGTTCATTCTGAGATGACACTTGATTTTTCTCGTTATGGTGGGACAGTAGCTCTGCTCTGGTTAAGGTTGATTCTAGTTTACTGGTTATGGCTATATTTTCTGAGGGTTCTAAACTCCACACACATACCCAGATTCTCTTGAAAATTTCTGTGACTCATTGGACTCTGGGGTGGGGTTAGTGAGCTAAATTTGAGGTCATTTGAACAAGGGGTTAATGAGATACACAAACAC